GTAGCATTAATATGAACACTAAACAGGAAATGCAGATGTATGCAGGTTTATTCCCCTCAACCTCACAGTTGGAAGGCACCATTCCACCACCAAGAAATAGAGATAGAGACAGGCATCATGACTGATCCCTGATTTCTCATTATACCTTTGTCTATACTTCTGAGGAAGTGGTCTTTCCACCAACCACTTGTTGAATTCTTTACTTAGTTCAGGATTAAACTTGTGATTGTAAAGTAAACTGAAAGCATGTCATTGAAAAAAATTAGAATAAAAAATAGGAAAGGAAGGAAAGTTGGAATTATTATTACAGTCTTAAAACTGCACATATGAAACACATGAAATGTGTTCCACTTAAAGAAATAAAGTTCAAAAGGAAAATTTAAAAATTAGAGGAGCAAAAAAGAAGAAAAAGTTCTTTGTAATTTGCTCTCTAAACTTTATATACTCTTTTCATCATGATCTGCCACTGTTACTTTTGAAAAATACTAATATTGATCAAGAAAAGAAGAAACCATCAAATTCTACTTTCTATTTGAAGGACAACAGAGACAAAAATAACTGAAGCAAAAATATTCGCAGTGTCTACTTTATCCCTCTTTTTTCCGGGGAGATTTAGTTTTTAAAATGTTGGCAGCCCTTGTGTGTAATGGAGGCAAGGTAACATGGTGGAGAACGGAGCAGGAAGAAGTAAAACTGGTTGATACTTCAAAAAGTAGGAGTAATCAGGGGAAATAGTGGGGAGGTTGGAAAAAAAGGAAAAAGATGGGCAGGGAGAGCCAGAGAGAGACTGCAGCAGTGTATGGAAGCCTGGGGCTGGAGGAGGTTGCAAGGAGCAGAAATCCTATTTGCTGCCCACAGTTTGATCTAATATTCTCTTTGCAGTCTCTTCAAGAGAATTCATTAAAGGCCTACATAACTTATCAAGTATTCTGAGGCACTGGATTTGTATTTCTTTTGGATATGTTACCATGTCTAAATCAGTCTTAAAAAATGAATGCAAAAAGTTCAATTTTATTTGAATTACACCAGATAAGGGGTCTTTTCCTCTGTGGAGACTTCATCATGGTTCTTTGGCAGGGATGTAGTTTTTAAAATTAAATTGTAGTGCCCCTCCCCTAATCTTTTCACAGGCCTAGTTATTTGAAGAATCTGGGCAGCCATCGTGTGTCTAACGTATCTCTTCTTCTGCCCTCCCCTCCTCCAATGTCCTGTTATCCCGTCTAGACCTCCCAGTCTATCAGTTCCACTGTGGCGCACAGCACTTCCTCCCTCCCAGTCTGTCCTGCTTGTGGCATATGTCGTTCTCCAAAGGGCTGACAACTCCTAACATCTGTCCGTCCCTAGGAATGTGCTTTCACTTCTGATTTTATTAGCACTGTCTCCCTTTGCTTCTTGTGCTTTGACCAGATGCTGTTATGAATCCTAATGTGGTCAATAGGAGTTCAGAAAAGATCTGGGGAGTAAGGAAGAAAGTATCTACAACTACAGGAATCTGAAGGGGTAGGAACAGAATTTCTCTCGTTTCTGGCAGGTAGGGAACATGACCTAAGTTTTGCTAATCAGATACTCCCTTAAAATTTAAAATCCTAGAAACTAACACTTAGACATATTTAGGTTATCTGTAATGATAATGGGGAACAGCTACTGGTAGGAGTGATGGTTAACAACTGTGTTAGTGTCTAGTGTTGTGTTGTCCTGACTCAATGTTCTGCACAAGACAGGGGCTTTTACTCTTAGTCCCTTTGGTTCCCACCATTACTTTAGGCCTAATTGTCCAGCTTTCTATGAAGTCAAAGTAAAGAGCAGGGGCTGAGTTGTAGCTACATTTAGGGAACAGAGCCTTAACACAAGCATCAGGTGCACTGCTGAAGGTGGTGCTTGGGACAAGCAGGGGCATCCTGGATCCCAGCTTCAGCTGAGCCCAGCCAGAGCATCTGGGAAAGGAACCCGTGAATGGGAGCTCACATTGCTTCTCAAATACATAAATAATATTTAGTAAAAGTCCCAAAAGGAACAAAATTAAGGTTTTAAGTCTAATACAAATGCAAGTAAATGATTTATTCTGAATATTATGTGTTAATACCAGTTTCTAAAGCAAGTTTGTTATTATAAAAGCCTTTTCAAACATTTGCAAGAAAGGGAAAAATCACAGAGATTAATTTCTGCAGAAGTAGAACTCTTATGAAAGCATTCCTATGCCACTTTAGCTTGATATAGTGTTAGAACAAGAAGCAAAATGCAAATAACAGACATCTTTAACTACAAAGCACTTGCTTATTTTCTTAGTAAAAGGTATGTCTGGGATTGGAGACAATTTATTTCAATCTGGCATACAGTTTGACAGTTTAGGAGTAAAAGGGACAAGGAAAAGATGACGATTTTACTATGCACCAAGCAGATATTTAAAACTTGGATGATTAACTTTGGTTGGAAAATTAAGCAACATTTGGACTTCCCTTTATATTGTCTAATACATACTTGTGTGCAATTAAATGCCTGTCAAATGGCATGAACTGGTGTTCTGTTCCTGGCACTTCTCTGAGTCAGACATAACTAACCTTATAAGTGAAATAAAGAGAATGCTTTAGAAGGATGTGAAATATAAGCAGATATCTATTAGGCAGTATCTTTTTTTGTTATTGTTTTTACTTAAGAGCCGATTTGTGTAAGTATAAAAAAGAATAAACTCATTTTGTCTTATTATATACTTAGGAGATTATTTTAAAAATAAAGTTTCCACTAAACCCATTTATGAATATTTCTAATCTGTAGAGGTCAGAATAAACAAATAACTCTCCACATTTTAGTAAATACCCAGGTATAAAGTTCATTTTCTAGATATAATCACAGGTAAAAGTTTTTAAATGGAAGTTAAAATACAATTTTCTGTCTCAAGTTAATTCACTCATAATAAAGAATAAAGTGTATTCTCTTTATTCCTTCAGGTTAAACAATCAAAACGAAAAACAAACACCAAGAGTCAGGTACTTCCCGGAAAAACACTAACACTACCTCAGAAAAAAAGCTAATGTATATTATGTTCTACCCAAGTAAAATAAAAATCTCCACATCAACAATTAGAGTTTAAACAAAAAGAAATAGGCAAAAGAAAATAGCTCTCCCTTACATGTGAGGTGAGCCTATTAGGAAATATTTCTTACAGCAGTTTTTAGAATCAAATCTGTACAATAAAGGTTCACAGTGTTTTGCACCCATGGCAACCCAAACATATTGTTAATGATTAAACTCTAAAAAGAAAAATTCTCATGCAACAGTGATGTCTACTGTTAGTGGAGAATGGGGAAGGGATCAGTTAGAACTAATCAGACAAACCAATATTATGCTCCTATTTTTAGTAAGCTCTGAAGGTAACTTAATGTTCATTTGTAACAAGAAATTACCTTATTAAATCTTTTCAAAGATAAAACAAAGAAAAAAGTGGCATTACAAACAAGCATTAATAATAGATATTAGCGACTGGCACGGTAGTATAGCAGCTTAATCAGCCACCTGCAATCCCCACATCCTATGTGGGTGCCCATTCAAGTTCTGGCTGCTCCACCTCCAAGCTAGCTTCCTACCAATGAATGTGGGAAAACAGCAGAAGATGGCCCAAGTCTGTGTCCTTAGGCCCCTGCACTTACATGGGAGACCTGCATGGAGCTCCCGGCCCTGGCTTCTGTTGGCCCAACTCTGACAAACTGTGGCCATTGAGGGAGTAAACTAGTGGATGGAAGAACTCTGTCTCTACCTCTCTCTAACTCTGCCTTTCAAATAAATATATCTTTTCAAAAAAAAAAAAAGACACTAGTTTGCAACTGATATCGCTACCTATTTTCAGAGGATCTTACATAAGGGTAGAAGAAATTTCAACATCTTGTGTGTCACAAAAAGTAAGCTTAAATCCCCATAACTTCCATACAAAATTCATGTAATAAATTTGCTGCATGTAGGTACTACTTTAAAGTACACTAAAAGATCAGCTATACTTCATGCTTGCAGAGTCTTGAAAATATAAAAAATTTTGGACACAGACCAATTAACTGAATGAGTAAAAGGAAATGATTGTACACAGGAATTTCGTGCAGAATTGTACACAGGAATAATCTTATTTCTACATTAAAGTAATCCATCAAGAAATAACTTCCACTCACCCTTTTACTAAATTTGTACCAAATAACTTCCACAGAGAGTGCTGAGTAATAAATATATTCCAACAGAATTCATAGTGAAAATAAAGGTATTTTGACTTTATCTGGTTAGAGTATTTTTACCAGAAAAGATGAAATTCTGAACAAAACAACAACAACAACAACAACAAAAAAAAAACGTTATGGATAGAGGACCTGTGATGACATGTCACTAGCAAGAAACTCTTCCTGATGCATGAGACAATGCATGGTACAGTAATTTGCTTTAACCTGCAATGCAAACTGGAAAGACTGAATTTTAAAAATAGCATATAGTTCACTCATGAGGACTATAAATAACAGTTTCCCTTCAACCAGGCAGCAAAAGCAGGTGGGTGGGGGCGGGGAGAGGGGAGAATCCAAAGTCACGTTTTAGAATCTTTAAAGAATGACTCATATGAGAGGGAAACTCTGAGGCCCTGTAAGAAATATCTCACAAAAGGGAAAGGGAGGTGGAAATCAACAAAGATGGAAAGCACACACATGGAACATAAACCTTGAAGTATTCGCGGTGGACTGACGAGACACATGGGCACACAGGACTTGTAAACTGTGTTAAAGGGAACTGGAAGATGCTGAGATGGCAGAAACCGTGCAAGGAAGCTACCTTCCTAGATCACAGTCTAAGGCAGGTGGACACTCATTCCTTAAGAGGAATTAGAATCTATTGCTCTTCACAGGCTCGTTTTCCGTATGTAACAAGAGTTGCAAAACCCCCCCCCAAAAGGTATGGTCAAACTGAAGAGGAAGGAAATCTTATACACTCGAAAACTAAAAGTCAGATAAACACACTTAAGCCATTATAAAATGTTATAACCAAGTTTTATTTCAGAAATCTGCTAAACTAGAGGCATACAATGATATAAACACACATCACTTTCACCTCCTTTCCCTTGCAAAGCTACAGATGTCAGTGTCAAAGGAGCCTTTCTGAGATTGAACAAAGTAACATACAGCAGAACCAGGAAAAGCATCATTCAACTTTCTTTTAAACTTTAGTTTTCAAGTTAACCCAAACCACTGAATGTCATCAATGCCATAATAAAGGAAACTTGGCCAACACTAATCCTCAAACCTGCTTTAGAAAACGGTAGTCCTTTCTCCTTGTCCCACCTTACCACATTCTACAGATGGTCTGTCCCCATTCTCCTTCCAAGAGGAAAAAGTTACACTCAAAGAGGATCAGTATGAGAATTCGCTGTGTGAAAATCTAACTAGAGGGAATGCACACTACTGGTCGTTCCATCACCTGTGGTTAACAACCAGCTCTGAAGCCGCCTACACAGCTCAAACTACCCCAGAAGGGAAGTGGGGTGGAGAGAGGATCTCAGTATAAGTTGTCGGTGTTGGTGCTCCGTGGGGTCTTGATCTTCTCGATGTTTTTGAGGATCACATCGTGCAAAGTGGCATACTGGTTCCGCACATGCAGTAGGATCTGACGCACACTCAGGTACTCGTTCTCATCGACTTCCACCACGGTGCGGCGATAATCTTCCACTTGCGGGTACTTCACTATCTTGGACACCAGCTTGGCCCGGGTGTTGTAGTACGTGGAGAAGCGGCGCAGATAGGAGGCCGCTGTGCTTTCCACCGTCCACAGCTGGTCCACTGTGTCTTCCTGGATGGACACTCCAAAGTTGTTGCCGTCCTCCACCTTCGGGATGAGCAGCTGCACCCAGATGCGCACCGTGTTGCATTTCTCTCTCAGCAACTCGATCTCCGGTTTGACCCTCTCGATCAGCTCCACCAGATGCTGGTTGCTCCGCAGCAGCTGTCCCTCACCGCCACTGGGGAGTGCAGGCAGCTTCCCCGGGGACTGGCTCTGCAGAGCTGAAGGATCCCGGTCGGGCCCATCCCCCACGGAGTCGCAGTTGGGGTCGGGGGCAGCTGGGGGCTCCGGGGCTGGCACTGAGCGGATCCTCCACAGATCCTGCAGGCGCAGCTCCTGGACCCGACCGTCCAGCTCTGACAGCTTCTGAGGGAAGAAGGTGGACACCAGGTCCTCGGCCTCCTGGGCGATACGGGCCCGGAATGCATCTACTTTCCCCTGTATGTCATGCTCTAGCTTCAGTGGGGAAGCCATGGCAACTAGAGATTTCAAATGTTGAGAGTGACACAACCGGGACCCCTCCGTTTTCAACAGACTAAGCGTGGGTCTGCACTGCTGCCACCACCAACTCCCAACAGACTACGCCGGAAATGACACACCAGGGCTCCCAGCGGCCCTTGCAGCAGGGAAGGAAACCACGTGCCTGGTCGCACCTGCCCCAGCTGGATGCTTCCGCTTCCGGGCACCCGCCAGGCTCTGCTGGAGCAGCAAGGGACATGTGTAGCAGAAACCCCTCGTCAGCTTTCCAGACCCATCCTGCGGTTACTACCAACCTGACGGACAGGAAGCAAGAACAAGAAAGGTTCCCCCAGTAATGTCCTTTAAGGATTGTGAAGGCTGGCACTGACATGCGTGATTGATGAAATACTGACTCTTTGGATCCAGACTTCAATGGGCTGTGCAAAGCCAGGCTCCCTTCCAGGCGGCGGTAATTCACCTTTACAGGTAACCTGGGCCTACCCACGCCTTACTCCTTAGAAAATCACTAGGGATTCACTTCTCTCTGGTATATTCATCAAATCAACAAACTTCTGACCTCTGGGGCTTACTTCTTACAACTTATTGTTTAAATCACAAATGTGGAGTTATAGGACTCCTCTGATCTTTTGGGGACAGTTAGCCAAATTGGAATCTGGATGCCGCAATTAAATATCAAGGTCAAATTTCTTGATATAAACTGTAGTTATAGAGAGTATATTCTTGTTTTTTTTAGGAAACATGTAAGGAATAAAGTGACCAATGTATTTAACTTATCTTCAGTTAAGAAAAATCAGTTGTGTGTTTGTGTGTGTGTGTGTGTGTGTGTGTGTATGTAGAGAAAGAAAATAAGGGGAAATGCTGAAAATTGATGAGCCTGCATAAATGCTTTATAGGAGTTAAGTACTACTATTGTTACTTACAAGGTTGAGATTATTCCAAAATAATACATGAAAAAACGAATTTTCCCCAAAGGCTTTCAGCATTATAAGACAATTCTATAATCATCTAAATTTTCACCCTGTTTATTTAGATGACTTTCCTTTTACTGAACTGTTTTGCTTTCACTCTACATAGCACCATGGTAGAACAGGCGTTGGGTCCAGAGGCTTGGGCTGTTGCTTGCAACACTGGCTTCACCTGTCAGAGTGCTGGTTCTCCTTCTGTCTGTTCCAGTGCCCATCCAACTTTCTGCTAATCTGCCAGAGTAAGCAGTGGATGGTGGCCCAAGCACTTGGGAACCTGGCACCCATGTGGGAGACACAGGTGGAGGTTCTAGTTCCTGGGTTCAGCCTGGCCCAGACCTGGCTGTTACAGCCACTTGAGAAATTAACCACCTGCTCCATCTGGGGCAGATGGAAGATATCTCTCCTTAAGTTTGTTTTCTCTCTGTCTCTCTTTCTCTCTCTCTCCTTTCTGTCACCTTTTCTATCTCATTCTCTTTCCTCTGTCACTCTGCATTTCAAATAGATAAGTAAATCTTCAAAAGACATAGTAAAGTCCATGCCTTTGGCTTTTATGAATGAATTATTGAAGTTTATATCAAAAGTGTTATTCTTAAGTTCTGCATTGTACTTAGTTTCACTGTGAGTTGTCACCTTAGTAAGACTGTAAACACTGAAGGACAAGGACTAAGTCTTAATTTGTTTCCTTTGCATCTGGAATAAGGCTTAACATGAAACAAGGTGCTCAGCACATGACTGCTAAAATCATGTAGAACTAGTTAAAAGTTTAGCTAAATACTAGTTTAGCTAAAAAGTTTAGCTAAATTCCCATTTACTGCATGCAAACCTATTACCACAGGCTGGGTGTGAAGCAGCTCCTGAAGAGGGCTGTCAATCAGCACAGCTTTCAGGTGTTAGGACATAATCCTCTAGCCTCAACTGCTCCTGTGCCATGTTAAGGTACTCCTAGTAACAAAGCAGAACTCCACATTCAGCCCCAATTAGAAGGTGGGGATTCAAAGATGGCTTCTGTGTTGGGATTGCTTCAAGTCTAGCAGAAGTGTGTGGAAAAAAAAAAAAAGAATACGGTAGAATTACATAAGGAAAGAGGGAATCCGTGTGGTGTGTGAGTGAGAGAAACTTCTTTTTACCCTTAGCAGTTACATTCCGAGACTCCAGAGTAAACTTGTAACTGCGGATAGTACCATTCTCTATATGTCTTTTCCAATACATACATAGCTGTGAAGGAATTCAGTTTATTAATTACGCAAACTAATAACAGAATACAAATTATAAAATATTTTATAATAAAATGGACAAGATCCCTCCCTATCCTCAAATATGTGATTTTACTTGCTCTCTTTTTGTGATGATGTAAGATGATGCAGTGCCTGCACGATGAAATGAAGTGAGATGAATGGCACAGGTGCTCTGCGGGCGTTTAGGCTACTGGCACCCCACACGTCTACAGAGTGACTCTTGGGGGCGACAGATACAGTGTGGAGCATGACAGGAAACAGAAGGATTCACCTCTTAGGTAGACAGCACACAATTTCATTAGGCTACTCAGAATGGTACACAGTTTGAAACATGAATTGTTTATTTCTGAAAATTTCACAGGTAACTGAAACTGTTAAAAAATGGAACTACAGATAAAGGAGGGCTTGTCATGGATGGGGCAGAGGAACATTCCTAGGTTTGATCTCAAGGAGTAGAGAAAGCAGCAGGAGAAATAAACAAGGATAACTCAGGCAGGATACTTCAAAGACTTGGATTTAATAAAAGCCAGTCAAGTAATTTGGACAGGGACAAATATTCACAGATGGATGACATAAAGGATCGCAACTTTCTGTAAGTGTCTCTTGTAAATTGTAACTGCAAATTCAGTATTCTCCAAACCTAATATGTGTATACATGCCTTTAAATGACGAGAAGAGGCAATAAAGCACTGTGGTTAAAGGTATGAAGTTTGCTAAGTTCAAGTCCTGGCTTTTTTACTTGCTAGCTGTGTGACTCAGGGAAACTACTCGTGTTTTGTTTTCCTAGTCTGTATAATGAGCATTATAGAAACAATTATCTCATAAAAGGCATTTTGAGAGCTAATAGCTAATATACACAAAAGAGCACAATGCCTTGAGTATAAATTTACATATTTAGTATGTAAATATTAATATAGTCGCTTTACAGTTGTAAAATTAACTCTATTTCTAGAGTTTGGCTTTTAGTGAGCTGTGTAAACATTTAACAAAAGTAAATTTAAGTCAATGCTGGAAGAGAATTCTTTCTTTAAAAGACTCACTTCTTTTAAAAGTAAAAAACCTTCTAAATGCCTTGTGCAAACAATTGCAGCGTTCTCTTCTTGAAATGCAAGTCTGGTCATATTTCTGTCTTCATAGGGGAAGAATCCAATTCTTTAGGCATGACCCACGAGTTCCTTCATGATCTGGGTTCTGCCATGTTTTATTTTCCCAACCTGCTCTGTATTCCAAAAGCAGTTCTTTCATGAGGTGGACATTCACCTCCGTGTGTGAAATGACATACTGCCCCATCTTCCTCCCCCTCTGTGCCTTGCTGTTCTCCCACAACCAACTCCAGGACTGTTTCGTGAAGAGCTTTCCTTGATACCACTTCCTCCTCCTGCAAAGAAGTTAGTGTTCTTGGCACTAACAGTATTTGCCTCATAAAGCTATGGAAGGAACTGAATGAAATAAGCTTGTATGTAACAGCCAGGACAGTGAGGGCTTCATAAATAATAGTCATCTTATTTGTAATCTCAGAGTATCTTGCATTATCTTTTATTGTTCCTATTAATAATAATTGATAAATATTAATTTAATAATTATTAATTGTAATAATTTTGGATTTATAAGTCACTTCACTTCATTATTATAAATTCCTTCAGAACATGGATTTTAGCTTATTTGCTTTTATGTATTCTTTGGTAACACTGTTTTTTGTAACAGTAAGTGTTCAGTGAACATTGCCAAATGAATAAAAACGAAATTATTGATGCAAAACAGGGTAAAATTTCGGACAGGACCTGAGAGTTTTAAGCAACTTATCTGCCTTTTGCCATGAAAAACTGCTCAATTCTGTTACATCTCATCAAAGTCCATTTTGGAGATCTAACAAGTGTCTGGACTGATCTAAAAAAGTTGTATACAGAAAGAATAGGAAATAATTTTTTTTCCCCTCAACAGTATACTGAGTTTACATTCTATTTTTTATTTCTACAGTATTGTTTAGTTCTAAAAAAAAAAAAATGGCTTTCACTCAAATAGTTGGGGTTCTTCTGTAGAACAGTAGTTACGCAGTATTCCATGTTTGTGTAAAATGGACACGCTGGGGAGTGCCTAAGAGGTACACAGAAGCAGAAGGGTGATGCTGGCTCTGACTCATGCTCCTACTGTTTATTTATAGCTTCTTATTAGTATGAGGTTTGTTTTATTTGGCAAAAATACAGGATTTCAACTGAGAAAGGAAGATGTAAGAAAAACGCCAAAGCATAAGACTTCTCAACTGAATAATAATCTGTAACTCAGTGCAACATCAACAGGCTCCCCAGTGGCTGGTGCAACCTGAAACCACTCCAGAATCACAAATTTCATGAGCTGCAGACTTTACCGCTAAAAGTAAAGTAATGATTAACCAAAGATTTTATTCTGTTTCAGGCACCTCCATTAATAGATCCACTTGTTGGAGCTTGCTTTTTTAGATTAGCACATAAAAATATTTAACAATGAATTCATTGCTTTTAATGATTATCAACCAACTGGAGTCAAAAGAAAATTGAAAAACATAAGTCAAATAATTTAAGCTTCAAGCTGAAAAATGTAACCTCTCAATATTTAAGATTACTCTCTGCCCACTTACTTTATTTTGCTTATCGCAAACTAAAATACTCAATTCCATCTTTATATGTTTATCTATATCTGTCTCTAAAATATAAGCTCTTAATGTATAAGGACTTATTTGTGTTTACTGCTGATTCTTTGTAGTGAGAACAGCCAGGAACATCATCTATATTTAAACATCTTGTTGGATAAATGGCAGAAAATTGATCACATCCTCTCATTAAATAATAGTAACTAGAGGATAACTTCAGTTGTAAGAACATATATACAATTATTTTTGGTCAGAATATCTGTCAAGCCATGAATTTCCAGTATGGGAAAGGAAAATATGGTTGATTTCCACACAAGTTAATTCTGGGATATGGGTTTTAGTTTTTTTTTTAAATCATAATTTTAATTATACACATTTATGAAATACAGTATTATAATTAGACATAG